TTATTACATGCATCTGAGTAAGTTTTTAGGAGACGGTGCAGCCTACCTTGTTTTGCAAAAGGGATCACTGTGGAACACAGGGTGATCCTCTTCCCCCCCCCCAATTTCCCACTGGACAGAGCAGGCTCAGAAAGCATGCTCACCATGGCTCAGAAAAGCGTGAGGCCTTTTACACTTGATTTATGCCATAAAATGACAACGTTCAGTTATCATCTCTGTTTTCACTGTCTCAAGTTTCACAGCCTGACAGTGCTGACTATAAGTAAATTGGAACAGTGTATTAGAAATTAAATCTGAAATCCAGGACCATGGTTATAGTTTTGAGTTAAATAACTTAAATCTCAGTAAATTGTTGGCTGCATTAATGATTAAATATCTTACTGTTTAAAACATTTGAAATGTAATCTTAAAGATTACTACCAAAATTAATTGTTTCCTCCTTCCCCCCCTTTCCTGAGTTTTTATGGCTTTATGTTTATATCAAATCCCCACCCCCCTGCCAGAATTGAGTCATTATATTCATACTCAAGCTTATCCCCTTTCTTGCCACTTTTTCCCCATCAAAATCTAACCTTATAGTGTTCCCAGTATAGTCAGCCTCTTGCCATTCCTTTAATCCATTAAAATGGTACGTAGGGTCACTGCTTCCCTCTCCCCCACAAATACAGTGTTATAGATGTTATACTTTCTGAGGCTGTCTCCTGTGGAAAAAGATTCTGAAAGTGAATTGAAATGCATGGATATTTTTTAAAACTCCATTAATACTGGAATGATAGTTGAATGCGTTTTCTGTACGTGTCAGTTCATTGAAGTGGTCTGTGTTTAAACTTCTTTGTAACATTGCTTAACTTGTTAGTAAAGTGCTCAGAGCTAAGACTGATGTTATTTGTTAGTATCTGTGGCTACTGTGAGTCCAAAGTACAATTATGTATTTTAGCAATGTTAAAAAGCAGCCCAAAGGTGGTAAGAAGCACAAAGGAGGGGAGGAATCCAATGCTGACTGGGAAGATTCTGATGACCAAGGTGAATTCAGTGAGCTGGATGATGAAGAAGTCTCCCTGGGGAGTATGGAAGACGACTTTGGAGAGGATATAGATGAAGAAGGAGGTGCATTTATGGATGTCACAGGTGATGAAGGTAGGTTAACAGCCATCACCAGGATTGAATGAGAGCAAGATGGACAGGTCAGTGCTTTCATGTCATGTGCGTAGATTAGGTAGTTTAAATCCAGAATTAGGTCCTCAAGTAGCCTGCTTTTTGGGGGTGCTGCGCAATTCAGCAGCTCTCACTAAAGTCCCTCTTTGTCTGAGGTGATTCCAGCAGCAGTGGGAACTGCCAGCATTCATTGCTTATGGCAATAACACTTATTTTGTTTAGGAGCCCAAATCAGGGAGCAGTTGTCTGGAGTTAGGTACCCAGTTTTGAAAACTTTAGTTCAGATACTTTGTAAACGAGTGCCATCATTCTCTGTAGTTTGGAAACAGCAGCACCAAAAAGTTAGACCATCACAAAACACTTGGGAAGGAGTAGAGAGAAATCTTTCAAGGAGTTTGGAAAAGATCTTAATTTTAAGTAAGCATTTAGCTATTTTGAATTTATTAAATTCTTCCCTAATTAGTTTTAGACCATTTACCTTCTTGAAGTTGGTAGCTCTTAAGTAATGATTTTTCAATCAATGTTTTTAATTTTTAAAAAAGCTATACATGTACTAAGAATTCATTGCTTTGATTTAACCTTCAAATGGTTTGATCACTCCATGAATCCAGAGACACACAAACACTGAAAGGTCTGCACAAACAAGAAGATTAAGGTAGTGCTTAGAAATAATTCATTGTTGAGAAGACAGGGAAGTGATCATGAACAGAACCAACTTGTTTAGGTGGACATTAGTAAATTGATATTTTTATGTGGGTGCTGTTACATAATGTGCCAGCTTGTTTGTTGAGCATGCCATCAGTTTACATAATTTCGTATATTTATTAAACTTATTCCATTGAATTGCATATCAAGGGTGGCTGAGATAAGTGTGTTACTCCTTTTCTGTATTGCTGATACTAGAAAAAGAGCAATACAAAATGTCAAGAAAAACTTGGTATTTCTCATGTTTTCTGTGGGTTTATACTAAAATTTGACCATGGGTATGGTTATTATAATGTTTGCTTTGGGGAACATTAACATATATTTGCGTAAGTGGGAATTAACATGCATGTTGGTATTCAAATAGTGATCTGCGTGCTTTTCTTTGATGATAGATGTAAACAGTGAAGATCAGATCAAGTCTGTCACCACTAAAAAAGGCAAAAGGAAGAAAGATACAGATTTTGCTAGATCATTTGAAGGTAGGAAAATATATTTGCATTTTGTGTTTGAGAAGGGTTAATACAAACATACATCGGGGAAACTAGTAGAAACGTAAGTAGTTTACTGGAGTGGGGGATTAGTGCACTCTGGAAAGGTGACTTTAAATTTCACTTTAGTTAAAAGTGAAAATAAGCGTTTCACTCTCCTCCCCATCGTTAATCTGGTCAGTTTGGCACAATCCAGTATCACTTTCTCCACCTGGAAGGCTCTGGATTGGAGTAGCAGGGTCCATTACAAGTTAGTATTCAGTTAGCAAGTATCTGTAGAGAGATGTGTGTTTATACTCAGCCACACTGGAGATAGCAGAAATTTGTGTAATCAGTTCACAGTATTTCATGCAGACTTCTTCAAACAGGAAGATTCTTGGATTCCTTAGTAGCAGCCCACTGCTAGTATAAAAGCAAAACTTAAGTATGCTATAAAAGTAGTTTGCAGTTTAGGCTTTGACATTTTAAGTAAACAGATAGGGATATTTCCTCTTTTCCAGTCCCTTGCCCAATAACATCAGAATACTCTGCTTATTTTGATTTTAAAAACAATCTGCAAGTCTCTGCCCTTTTTTCCTACTTTGTGGGCCATCTACATGTGCATTAATGCACCTTTATGGTGCATTAAGGTTGGTACCTGTAATAACAGGTACCAGACTTAGTGCACCGTAAGCACGCCCGTGCATGGTAGCACTGGCACATGCTTTTTAGGTGATGCTAATGCACGCTAGACTAATTATGCGCATTAGCACGGCTTTTGCTGAGATGCACTAATGCACTGTAGAATTAGTGTACTGCACTTTTAACATCTTGTGTAGCTGCACCCTGTGATATGTAAAGGTAGTTTATGTAGGGATTATTGTGTGCACACAAGTGTTTTTTAAATTCTTATGTTAAAAAATTAGGTTTTGCTGCTCTGGAAGATCATGATGACTTTAAAGCAAAAGGCAAAAATCACAAGAATCAGGAGAATAAGAATTATGAGCAATCAGAAGGGATTTTTAATTACGTTAATTCTTCGATGCTTATACCCCTTATCCTAAATTGTCACTGATGTTTATTAAAATACAAAGGCTGTAGAAACAGATGAAATTCAGGGAAGACTGGAGTTGACATTCCCTATATTTTGAATGTTTTAAGAAAAATAGAATAGCATGCAAAGGGTAAAAGTAAAACCCTTCAAACTAGCCAGTCTGAATTAGAAAATATCAAATCCTGACATAAACAGACTACATGCCAAAAGGCATTTTAAGCTTTTCAAATTCTTTGAATTGCCCCTGTGTATTCTTGAGGCAGTCCTTTTGTGGGAAAGCTTTTTTGGTACAAAATCCTTTATCTGCACAGTCACCCATCTCTGAGAAACTGCTCGTCCAGGCTCTCTTATGTTAAACTGTATAGGTTTTGAACCCCTCTGTGCATTTCTTTACAAACAAACATGTACCCCTCTGCACAAGCAGACTCTTCCTCATGATCAGTTCTTTCTAATAATACTCCATGCAAATGTTACATCCTTTCTGAACTGATTGATAGAACCACTGTCCCCTCCAGGCCTGTTTCTGCTGCAGAGCTGATTTGGAAATTGACCACTTAATTAGTGACTGCTAGGTTGAAGGACAGCTCTAGGCAGCTGATGATGCATTTGTAATAACATGCAGGTGTTTATATAAAATGTGTGTGCATATTGGATGATATCCCTGTTTCTCAACTTCTTTTCTGTTCCATGATTATGCACTTTACAGAATAGCACCACGCTATTACTGTTAGTACCAAACAGTTAAGAAAATCTATTTGCATGTGTACTAAGTACAATATACATAGCCAGTTAAACTGTTGATAAGAAATCTGCTTAAACCTACCACCCTTGGTTCTAATTACAGATAACAAAAAAAACCTGCAACCTTTTTAAGGTTATGTGCGTGGGTGACTAGTATAACTCAGAATTTTACCTGATAACTTTTTTTCCTTATTCAAAGGATCAAAACAAGGAAAGAAAAGAAAACTCAAAGATGCTGGCATGCTGGCTGCTGCAGAAGAGGTAAGTGTGATTAACACTTAAGAAAAAATGTTGATTTTATATTTTGCCTTAATATTTTGTTAAGGGAAAGAAATATTATGTTGCATTCTCTCTCTCTAAAGTTTGGCTATCTGCTGGATGAAAACATTGGGTCCCAGTTTGACCATATTGGCATGAATGCAATGGCTAACAAAGATAATGCAAGTAAGTACATTCTATATGTTGTCCTTTAAGTATGTGCGCAATATTCAACACTCCCCAACCACTGCCAATGTTGGTGTAGAGAAGAGATGTCAAACATAAAGCATGCAGGCATAGGTGATTTTGACATTTCTGGTGTAGATGGAACAAAACCACAAACTGTCTCAAAAGATTGTCTGACTGTCTCAATTTCAAAACTAGATTTGGTCTGTTCACTGAGATACAAAATACTTGTGCCTAGTTAAAACAAAAAAACCGCAACCTTCTAATAGCAGGTCTTCAAATGTTACATTTCTGCTCAAACTTAAACAGGGTTAATGGAAGTGAAAAAATACGTGAAAAGCAGTTCCAAAATCTGAATATCTGCAGCAGGCCTGGGATGTTTGGGCGTAGCACAGCATTAATCTGTATAACTGAAACAAATCTTGAAATACAAAAAAAGGCATAGTTCACACTTTATTGACATTTTCTATACATATCTCAATTATTAGCCAATACACGATTTACTCAGATTTCACATGGTGTTCATAAGTAATAATTATACACCAGCTGCACTGACATCTCATCTACTTTGTCTTCTCTGGTAGGTGTCAAACAACTCAAGTGGGAGACGGAGCGTGACAGATGGCTTCAAAACAGAGATGTGAAAAGTATTATCAAGAAGAAAAAGCAGTTCAAACACAAAGGGCTGAAAAACAAACCTAAAAGCAAAAAGTCAAGAAAATAAATCATACACTTTATTATGGACCTTTTTAAACCAAGTCCCAGACTTCATTTCTACTTACATCTACTCTTTGCGGCTAAGCCATTCCATTTCGTCTTTCTCTCTAATGCCATAGTATCCACCTGCCTCTTGGAATATATAATAAGCTGAAAAATAAGTAAAAGATATTTGTAGTGCCTGGGTGACAGAATGCAGGTGGAGTTTTGAGCTAACTTTCTGAGCAGGAAAAACTCGGATATGTTTCCCTAACTTTAAAACACAAGTTTTTAAATTTTTTCTAAAGTTTTCTAAATGTTAAGTAGTAACGCAAAAGCAGGGAATAATTCACTTTCAGGAATGAGATACGAGAGTTTTGCTGCATTTCAATCTTCTAGTTCAGGGGTTGGAAACCTGTGGCCCGTGAGCTGTATCCAAGCTGCAGCAGCTCAGCATATCAGCACTCCAGGACAGTTTGGGGAGCAAAGGGGTCATTCCCTGGCTCCTACTGTCTGTGTCTTTCCATCTGCTCCTTCTGCTGTATTCCCAGGTCTTGCTGCTCTGCTCCTACAGTGAACTTTAACCCTTCCCATTACTGTCAGCCACCTGAATTGGTGGCAAGGGTAGCAATTTGGACAGTCAGAAAGTAGAGATTTGTAGTCTGCACCAGCATTCAAAATGGCAAACCATGATGGCCTGTGCCTACAAATAGCCACCAACCTGTCATATAGGTGGCAGCAAGTAACTTACCTTCCAGCATGTACGGAAATACCTTGTGCATTTTACGCCTGAAATCTGACAAAACAACAAAAAGTTACAAACTCCTTTTTCTGAAAAGTTTAGGTAGTCAGTTACTAATCAAAAGTACTTGTTCTTATATTTTTAAACACCCCTTCCTTTAAGCCATGTCCCAGGTACTTTGAATATTGTTAACTGTATCATTTGGATTTAGACCCAGCCAAGTAGTAGTTTACCTGGGAGACTGATCAACTCATCTGTGCTACCCAGGGCCCTAGTAGAGCGCACACTTGCCCATTGGACAGCATGTGCAAAAGATCCTACCTCAAACGGTGGAATAAGGATGATTATGAGGGGCGGAGCAAAGGGCCTACCTCAAGTTAATTACAGCTGTGTTGAAAGGGAAGTCCTTGAGGTATTGGGTTAGATCCCCATTATTAAATACGTAAGCTCCTCTTCCAGACTGCTGTTTCCCCTCACTGGCCCAATTCCCTTGTCAGTTCCCACTGAGGCTGAGAAACCAATTCCAACCTTTCACAAACCTCTCTCTCAAGCTGCGCTGTTATCCCTTAAACCAGAGATGCTCAACCCCTGACCCACACGCCAGATCTGGCCCCTATGGTCGTGTCAGGCAGTGCACAGAATGAGGCTGAAGTTGGTTCCTTATTCCCGGTTCCTTTTTCAAAGCTAATCTAGACTCAATAAAAACTTTTTATTAATGAATTCCACATCCTAAATAAAGAGAATTTCATTAGCTATGCAAACATACTAATTAATATGTAAAATAATATTCCACATCAAGTACAGAACCCTAAATGAAGGTCAGATTAGGATGGGATTATGGGGCAAAATATTTCTTGGGCCACCCCAAATTTCATGGCGATGCCACTGGGGAACTGTTCCAAAGAACCCTGCCACAGCCCCGCCTGGCCCAAAGCAGAGTTTGGCTGTGCCAGGCTGCCAACTAACAGCCCCCATGCCTACTGTACTAAGTATAATGGCTTGAAAAAGGCACTGGCATTCAGACTGGGATTATGGCTAGAAATTCTGCTTGGGCCACACATCAGAATACCTCTGTGCCACCCGGGGACTGCCCTGGACATCTGTGACCAGAGATTTGTCCAGCCCAAAGTGTGGTTTGGCAGTGCAAGGCTGCCAACAGACAGCACCCTAGCCGCTGTGCTAAATACATGGAACTGAATAAGGAACTGGATTTTGGACTGGGATTATACCAAGAAATCCTTCTTTGGCCACTCCAGACCATGTCTCTGTGCCACCAGGGGACACTTTTGCACATCTCTGACCAGAGACTTGCCCCACCGAAAACGCGGTTTGGCTGTGCCAGGGTGCCACCTAACTACCCCAGCCACTGTCCTAAGTATAAGGAACCGAATAAGGAATTGGAATACGGGCTAGGATTATACCCAGAAATCCTCCTTGGGCCACCCCAAAGCACACCTCTGGCACCAGGGGATGCTCCTGGATATCTCTGACCAGAGACTTGCCTGGCCCAAAGCACAGTTTAGCCCCTCCAGGTTGCCAATTGACACCACCCTGGCCACAGTGCTAAATGAATGGACCTGAATAAGTAATTGGATTTTGGCCTGGGATTATACCCAGAAATCCTTCGTGGGCCACCCGAGACCACATCTGTGTATCACTGGGAACTCTTGTGGACATCTCTGAAAAGAGACCTGCCCGACCCAGAAGGTGGTTTGGCTGTGCCCGGCTGCTATCTGACAGCCCCCAGCCACTGTTCTAAGTATGATGGCTTGAATAAGGAACTGTTTTTGGGGCTGGGATTAGAGATGGAAGTCCTTGTTGGGCCACCCCACACTATGACTCCGGCACTGGGCGATTCTCCCAGGCATCCCTGACCAGAGTATTGTTTGGTCCAAAGCATGATTTGGCTCTGCCACACTGTCAACTTGGAGCACCCTGCCCACCCCAAGCAACTGTACTAAGGACAATGGCTTGAATAGGGAACTGTTTTTGGGCTGGGATTAGAAATGGAAATCCTTCTTAGCTACCCCACGCCTCTGTGGCACCAGTGGACTCCCCCGGACGTCCCTGACCAGAGTCTTGCCCGGCCCAGAGCACAATTTCTTCATGCCATGCTGCTAACTGCAGCCCCTATATCCATTAACTTAATAAAAGGCTTAGTCTGGCTTTCTGTATGTCTGTCTGTAATGCTTCTAGCCAGCTGCGCATGCACCCCCGAGAGGGCTGGTGGCAACTGGCTGGGTGGCACATGCTGTGTGGCCCCAAGTCTGCACAGCTGCCAGGGAATTTTGGCGGTGGGGGACGTGCCCCAGCCATCTGAGCAGCCAGGCTGCCCCCG